TCTAATTCAAAATTAATCGTTGGATTAACATTTATAATGTATGGCTATGCACTCGATGTTACAAAGACATCTGAAGAAAACAGTTTAAATAAATCAACCATAGATATTTATCAGCACTCCCAGTCGAGCGTAATGTGACAAAAAGTCGAGATTAAAGTGAGATGGAAGTTCACGCGAACGGGAACCAAGGGCAGACATTGTTCATGCCTGCGGTTCTACAGAAAGATGCTGAGTATATCATAGACCGAACATGTGAGCAACGACAGTTTTAGAGTAAATGGAAATGAAAAGGAAACTTAACACCAAGAAGAGACAGTTGAAATTTCTGGGACACATAATGAGGAAAGAGGGCTTGAAAAATTTGATACACACAGGTAAGAGGAACAGAGTTAAACAACTAATAATATAATTAATGAGCTTCAGTAAATGAATGGCGGAAAGGGGTTTAGGTGAAATAACAAAAAGGCAAAATTTATTAAGAGCTAAAAAGGACAGGATATTGTGGAGAGTCATGATCGCCTATATCCTGAAGGGACACGGCACATAAAAAGAAGAATCTAAACCTGCAGCACAAGAATGTGCGGAAACTGATCAGAGCAAGAAAAGGTCAATCAAAGAAATCTGCAAGACAAGAGACAGTTGCATGTGATTTGTCTAAATTGGAGTCAGTAGGAACTTGTAAATATAAAATCAAAACATTCACTAACTGCACTATTTCATTTAGCCCTTTGCTTAACTTCAGTGATCGTACAAGAACTGGTGTTTCAACATTTTTTTTGTAAAAAAGAACATTGGTATAAGATCATATTATTGAAGCACCTAATGAGAAAAAAGATCATTGTCAATATTTGTAAAATCAAATTAACAATAACACAATTCCGTATTTATACAGTTAAAGTTCTGAATGCAACAGTTGTGACAAGAAAATTTGCACACGATTCATGGTGTACTAAAAAATGAATTCACTGACAATGTCTTGCAAAACTAGTAATTTATTTAAGTTTTTAAACCAGATACTTCATAATTGGAATTTTTGGCTTTATCGGTGGTAGAGAAAAATGACGTAATGCCCAGCCGCCGGTTGAACAGTGGTAGAGAAAAATGACGTAATGCCCATCCACTGGTTGTACAGTGATAGAGTAAAATGACGTAATGCCAAGCTACCGGTTGAACAGTGATAGAGAAAAATGACTTCACGCCCAGCCACCGGTTGAACGGTGAGTAAACGCTTGTAACTATTTTTATATCTATCGTGAAACATTACATAACAATTATTTGCGAATTTTGACTCAGGAGCTCAGACAGAAAGGGTTAAAATTGTTCAGGAACGCAGGGTTCAAAGGGTTAAGTAACCAGCATTAAAAATCATTTGAAGTCAAGATTATGTTGGTAAAAGAATTATGTACTATAGGATGTAGATATTTGGAAGAAGTTCAACTTCAGCGATAAAAAAATAAAATAATAATAAAACCGCATTCTGATAAGCGAGAAGTTATCATAAATCCTACAACAAAGCGAAACTAAACAAGCCTGAAAAGGAAATGACAGAATACATGATAGGAATCTGATGCTTTGGTGATACATAAAAAGTAATGTTTCAAAAAAAAAATTGGTCAAAGTTGGCAGTAGGTTGTACAGTGCCAAGTACATACTGTTGCTGAAGTACCGTTTGTTAGCAGATTTGTAAGATGTGATTTTTACCATAGACAGAGCTCCAGGTCTTAGCATGAAACTCGAGTGATTCTGGTTGATGAAAGTCAAACTGTACTAAAAGACTGGCGGAGCTCTGGTTGACTTGGATAACGTAGAGTAAACAAGAACAGAACGGAAGAGATCATGCTGTCGTGAAGAGTTTACGGAAGTTTAGTCAAAGAAAATGGTGTTTCAGACCTGTGTAGCTTTGAGGCCGTGGTGCATTTATTAAAATTACGGGAAGCCATACGAAATATTAGCAATGTACAGTATAGTCTCCAAATATGATTTTGGTACACTCTCGCCTGATTCAGAATTGTTACGGAATAGCATGATTAAATATGAATATGGCCTTAGCAAAGTCAATATTTCGTTTGTAGAAAGCGTGAGGAGAGATATACATTTACAATATGGCCATTGCCTAACGTCTTCTATGTGCCGTGTCCCCTTAAGGTGTTGACGATCATGGCTCTCCAAAATATCATGTAAATTTTGTCTTTTTCTCATCTCTCCTAAGTCTTGCTCAGCCATCCATTTACTCGTACTCTCTAGGTAGGTTATGCGTTATTTTCTTTTTGTCCTTCTTACCTTCAGTCTTTCTTGTGAGTAATAAATTTTCCAAACACATTTTCCTCATTGTGAACCCTAGAAATTTCAACTGTCTCTTTCTCGTGTTATATTCAAATATCCTTTCTGTTTCCATTTCCTCTGAAACTTCGTCGTTGCTTCCATGTTCAATTTGTAATTCTCATCATCCTTCTGTAGAACCACATTTCTGTTATTATATGTCTCTTCTTCATTTCCGAGGAGACTGTCCTACATTGACTGTCATATAGGAGGACTGATATTACATGTCGGCTCAGTACTTTTTTTTTTTTTGTTTCTAATTAAATTTTAATTTCTTAATACTTTACTTAGATTTTGGAAGGCATTTTCCCTATCAGAATGTGGCTTCGGATTTTGGTGTTGCACTTTCCATTCCCTTTTAATATCTCCAATTTGTAATTATATATCGGGCTGTTCCTTTTGCTGACAACCATGCACTGTGTTTTCTTGCAATTGATGCTTAGTCCTTTCTTCTCGCTTTCCTTCACTCCCTTCTATTGGAGTTCCTCTAGTTTCCTTCCTGTGCCTGCTATGAACATTGTAATTTATAATCAGCTATAGGGGAGATCCGAAACCGAAATTAAGTGAAACTTGATGCCTGGAGATTCATCCTCAGACGATACCTCCCCATTGAACGTGAAGCGATAAAGTTAGGAGTACGCTTTGATGTCTGTGACAATAGTCAAGGGAACTAGACAATTTCGGTTAGAATCCACATGAAACGCGACCTTGGATCGTGTGCCGTATTACAGGGTAGACCTTCTAGATAAGAGAAAGAAATTTTGCCATGGTGGATTGCTGAATAAGTATCAACTGTAACAAGAATGTCACGATATGAGGAGGGGAAAATAAATTATTAATAGGGAAAATATAAGTGGTGAATAAGGAAAGGAAACAATGAAAGTGGGAAGGGAAGAAAGAAAGACTAACTAAATGTATCAAAGAGGAGGGAGAGGAAGATAGTGAGGAGTAACATGAGAGGAGAAGAGGGAAATCAAGGTGTAAGGAAGTCGTGAGAGGAATATATTGTCGTATTTCCATAGCAACCATCGGACGTGTGGGTATTTCAGGTCTATTAAGGCGTATTGCTTCAAAGATATGAGAGGCTTTTGCTTGAGATTCTAATTTGCATATTAAACCGGGAACACCAAACATTACCTTCTTTCTTTCTTTCTTTCTTTCTTTCTTTCTTTATCCATCTTCCTTTATCCCCTTGTTTTTTATATTCATTTCTTTCTTATTTTTCTTTCTTTCTTATTCTATTCGTCTTTTTTGCTCCTTCTTTCTTTCTATATCCATTTTTTTTCTTATTCGATCCCCATCTTTTGCTCCTACTTTTTTCTTTCTTTTATCCATCTTTTCTTATTTTTTCCCTTCTATATCTATTTCTTGCTTTCTTTCTTTTTTTTTTGCTTTCTTTCTTTTTCTTGTTTTCATGTTTGCTTTCTTGCCTTTTTTTAATTTATCGATCTTGTTTTGCCCCTTCTTTCCTTCAATATCTATTTTTTATTTCTTTCTTATTTCATCCGTCTTTTGTTCCTACTTTTTTCTCTATCCAATTCTCACTGTCTTTCTTTCCAAACACATTTCCAGACTTTGTTTGTGCTGTTTAAATTATATATATATACACACACAGGTGATCTTCGTGGAAGTATCTGAAAACCATACCACGGAGTTAACCAAGTCTTGAAAGTGAATTTGTATCCAAAGAATTGTTCCTCGATGGTTGTGTTACAAGTCTTCGTGACCGAGGGTTTGACTCTACTGCCCTGGTCCTAAGTGTTGATCACAACAGATGATTTACCTTCTCCCAGAAACTGTAACTGCAGTTCGCTGAGTAAAGTTATAGTATAAACCACAAGTGATCAGCCATTGTTGCCACTCTGTGTCTCTCTCTCTCTCTCTCTCTCTCTCTCTCTATATATATATATATATATATATATATATATATATATAGCACGGTGGAGCAGTGGTTAGCGTCTTGGATTGAGGAATCGCAGAGTCGAATTCCAGTCGAATCCACTGCATTCACTTACGTGCTAATACCCTTGGGGAAGGTATGTATCCTCTTCATCTCCCTCCAGCTATGGGTAAAATAGCAGGACAGACTGGGTTCTATAGCCTTGGATGGCAACTGGTCTAGAAGAAGGACAACTCTGAATTCAAAACCTGCGGAGGGTCGTTTGGGAACCTTGTGGCATGCATTCGGTGCACCAGGTTTCTGTATTCGTCCCTCCAAAAAGTGTGGCTGGTCCTGCACAAGGCCTTCACCACTATAAACAAATCTCATGTGCCGGTGTCGGGATGTCGGTTTCCTGGGGACTTATCGGCCTGACCCTCATACGTCGAACGCGACGGGAGAGTCGATTATATATATATATATAGAGAGAAGAGCTCTTTTCAATAAGTACTGTGCATATATATGTATGTATGCACAGTACTTATTGAAAAGTGTTTGAGGCAACATATTCAATTGTATGGATGAGTTTGTCTGATGATCGCGAAAGCGTGAAACACAGCGTGACAAACTCTTACCCATATAACTGAATATATATATATATATATATATATATATATATACACAGTGAGAAAGAAATGAAATATTTGGATCGATGAGTAATCGTGGATAACAAAACAACAGAATGATAAATCTATAAGAAAATTAAAACCTTCTACTTCGCCGATGAACGGGCATCTGTCGCATGAAATTATTTTTCGTTTACTCTTTTTGCACTGTAGGTCAATGGTTGCCTTGAACATATTATCTTCTAGAATTACAATGGCTGAAATATTATCTTTGTTATATATATATATGTGTGTGTGTGTGTAAGTAAGGAATACAATCTTCATAAATTTAGCATGTTTCGCTATTTAACTTAGCTTCGTCAGAATTTTCGTTACTTGCGAGGTAAAACAATGTGGAGTCGGGCATATTTTTTTTCAATTCTCTGTTGATTTGCTTTCCTTTGCTGTGCAGACGTCACGTGTATACCTTATGGCATATACGTGGTTATGTATGTCTTGAAATTCTGTTTGTTTTATTTTCATTCTGTCGAATTTAATCCATATTTTCATTTTATATTTAGCTTACGGCCCCATCATATTGAAACACAGGTTTCCGTACGATCACTGAAGTTAAACAACGTTGAGCCTAGTTACTATGAATATGGGATCGCTTGGGAATAACAGGTGCAGTAAATTTGGATGTACTGCTAGTGTAATGGATAATGGCTCGGAATTGAGAGCCGAGTTCTAATTCACGCTTTATTTACATGGAAATAACCTTGAGAAAGGTGAGAATTCAACCCCCCCCCCACTAGCTGAGGGTTAATTCGTAAAAGTTATATCACTAAATCATTATCTCCAAAAACATAAATTCTTACAATCTAAAGTATATTTTCTGGCTTCTGGGTGTTATATATATTGTGTGTGTTTTCTTTGTGTGTGTGTGTTTGTTTTCTTTGTGCGTGTGTGTTTTCTTTGTGTGTGTGTGTTTTCTTTGTGTGTGTGTTTTCTTTGTGCGTGTGTGTTTGTTTTCTTTGTGTGTATGTGTGTGTTTGTTTTCTTTGTGTGTATGTGTGTGTTTGTTTTCTTTGTGTGTATGTGTGTGTTTGTTTTCTTTGTGTGTATGTGTGTGTTTGTTTTCTTTGTGTGTATGTGTGTGTTTGTTTTCTTCGTGTGTGTGTTCATATGCGTCTGTGTGTTCATATGCGTCTGTGTGTGTTCTTGTTTGTTCTATGTGTGTTTGTGTTCATATATTCGTGTGTGTGTATGCGAATTATTCCTAGAATTTTAGTTTCATGAATCCTTGTCCTTACCTGTCGCGATCCGTATAATCTTTCTTCCTTTTTCTCAATCTAACCCTCTCTATACCTTTCTTACCCCTCTTCCGCTTTCTTTTCTAATTCTTTCTCTTTCTCTATTTCTCTCTCGCTCTCTCTCTCTCTCTCTCTCTCTGGCTTTGCCGTTCTCCTACTCCCCACCGTCGCCAATTTCCGTTCACTCCTCCTCCTCCTCCTCCTCCTTTAGGAATCTCGTCCCCTCTTTATTACACCCTCCAAATGACACCCCCGTCTTTCCTTTCTTCTTGAACAATTTCTTCTGCTCTTCCTCTTCACCTTCGCTACCCACACACCTTTTCAACCGTAAAATTTCGCCGCTCTCTGTTGAATTACAAACGCCACACGAACGTATGTGCCGGGAATAATTTTGATTCAGTCTCCCCACTTTTCCCAGGTTTCATTTGCCCCATTCGACATCTTTAAGGTTGCTTTTGCCTTTCTTTGTTGCCTGTTATTTAAATTTCCGTTTGCTCTTCACTTTACGCGGCTTTTCATTTTAAAAAAAAATTGTATCATTTTTAAAAAAGTATCTTCCTCCGTTCTATATTATTTTTATTTTTTTAGTTTTACTTTTTTGGGGGATGGAGAAGGTGCAGAAGTTTGTTTTTCTTTCTTTCTCATTTTTTCTTTTATTTTTCGTTTTTTTAGTTTTTTTTTTTTTTTTTTACTCAATTTTTATCTTTCCATCAACGTCATTTTATGTTTCTTTCATATATTTTTCTTTTTCAATCTTTCCTTGTTTAAATAAAACATTTTTTTAAAAATTTTGTCCCTTTTCTGTTTTAACTTTTTTTAGTTCTTTGCTCTCTTTTCAGAATATAAACCTTTTTTTACCTATTTTTGAACTTCTGTTTCTCTTAACTTTATCTTCATTTTCCTGAGTCCTATGATTGTATAGTTTTCTTCTTCATCATCATAATTATCAATAGGTTCAATAATATCAGAAATAGTAGTAATGTTAAAATAAATAACATCAGTAATGAAATTGTAAATGTCTTCTTTTTTTCTTATCCTCAACTTTTTCTTCTTTTTCATTTCGTAAAAAGAAAACGAAGAATATTTTTATTACAAATGTTGTCTATTTAAGACAACATTTGTAATAAAAATATTCTTGGTTTTCTTTCTTCTTCCTTCTTTATTCTTTTTTCGTCTTCTAGTAAAATAGACATTGTAATAAAAATAGTCTTTCTCCTTTTTTTCTTTCTTTTTTCTCTTCTTTTTTTCTTTCTTTTTTCTCTTCTTTTTTTCTTTCTTTTTTCTCCTTTTTCTTTTTTTTTTCTTTTTTTTTTTTTCTTTTCTCTTTTTTTCTTTCTTTTTTCTCTCCTTTTTTCTTTCTTTTTTCTCTCCTTTTTTCTTTCTTTTTTCTCTCCTTTTTTCTTTCTTTTTTCTCTCCTTTTTTCTTTCTTTTTTCTTTTTTTTTCTTTTTTTCTTTCTTTTTTCTTTTTTCTTTTTTCTCTTTTTTCTTTTTCTCTTTTTTTTTTCTTTTTTTCTTTTTTCTCTTTTTTCTTTTTCTCTTTTTTTTCTTTTTTCTTTTTCTCTTTTTTCTCTTTTTTCTCTTTTCTCTTTCTCTTTTTCTCCTTTTTCTCTTTCTTTTTTTCTCCTTTTTTCTCTTTCTTTTTTCTCTTTCTTTTTTCTCCTTTTTTCTCTTTCTTTTTTCTCCTTTTTCTCTTTCTTTTTTCCCTTTTTCTCTTTCTTTTTTTCTCCTTTTTTCTTTCTCTTTCCGTTCTCTTTTTCTTTACTTTTTTTCTTATTCCTTTTCTAGCATAATAGACATTTATAACTGAAATAGTCTTCAATTTCTTTCTCTTTTTTTCATTAAAATATACAGCAATAATAATAAAATTAATTTTTTTTTTCTTCGTTTTTTTTTTTCATATTTTTCGTCTGTGTCTTTTAGTGAAATAGATAATATTAGTAATACAAAATAAGTCTTCTTTCTTTTCTTTCTTCTTTTCGGCCTGTTTCTTTTTCTAGTAAAATAAACAACATCAGTAATGAAAGTAGACATTTTTTTCTATTTCTTTTTTTTTCTTCTTCCCTCGTTTAAATAGCAAATAGATTTTCTTCTTCTCTGTGTCATGATCGCCCAAGTCTTGAAAAGTGTCTATCTTTTGGTCTTGAACGTTCATTGTTCTCCATAATTTCCTATCCTTCGTAGCACTTAGTAACATTTGTCTTTTCATTATTACTCCCACCCCCTGCCTTGCCATCCTTTTGCACAAGTTCATTAGGAAGGTGACATGCTGTTTTCCCCCGATACTCTTGTCTTCACTATTTCCTGTCGGTGTCAGATTCTCCAATCCTACTTTCCTCTCAGAAATTTAAATGGTTAGAGTACTTTTCTATATTCATTTTCCTCAAAACTTCCTCGTTGCTCACATTCTCCGGCTTTCATCTTCTCAGCATCCTTACCTAGGACCACATCTTTGTTGCCTCAAGTCTGCCATATAACGAAATTTTTCTGCTTAATACTTTCGTTACTTTCTAAAAGGCGTCTTTAGCTATTCCAGTGTACCTTCGGTTTCGATGTCCCATTTTCCATCGTCTGTTATAACACTTCTCAGATATTTCTATTTCTGTACCAACCTTTTCATAGATTATTTTCTTAAAGTATTTTGGCAAATTTCTCTTGCTAACAACCATACATTCTCTCTTCTTGTAGTTGATGATTAGACTTTTTTACGCATTTTTTTTACTGGTTTTTCTTTGAGTTAATTCATTTTTTTGTATGTCCGCTAAGAAAACAATGTGAATTTACTACGCATATTAATCGACATATAAAAGCTAGCAAACCAGATTTTATTGCGATTAAAATCTACAAAAATGCTTTCTCATAGATACGACTGTGCCATTAGAGAAGTATATCTGTTAAAGTATAAGCCAAACTAAATAAGAATTTAAATTTTTTAAAAAATGCGCCTTAAAACTGCTGATATATCAATAATAGAATTTACTGTTTACGATCAAAAACGTTAAATTCCTTGCAACCCATGTTCAGAAGAGATTCAAAAGATTACACTACTTGCTGTACTGGGACCCTTATTACTCTCTCATAAATACTTTGTTCGTGCCAATTAAACACTTCCAAAGACGATGTGGTCAGTTGTCTCGGAGTGCTCACCACGCACTTGATACAATTGACTGATTGATTTGTTTGTTTAACGGCATATCAACTCCTTAGAACTTCGGTCTGTCCTGCTATTTACCCATAGTTGGGGAGAGATGAAGAGGATTCATACCTTCCCCAAGGGTATTAGCACATAAGTGAATTTCAGTCAATTATGTGCCATGCGTGATACACGCTTAGGTGATTATGTATCTTTCGATACATGACTGATGAGACAGATTTTTTTCCCGCCGTAGGTCGCCGTTTCTTTCTGTGGTATACCAGTTGCCATCCAAGGCTATAGAACCCGATTTGTCCTGCAATTTAGCCATGGCTGGGAGAAGAGGATTCATACCTTTCCCAAGGGTATTAACACGTAAGTGAATGTAATGGATTCGAGTGGAATTTGAACTCGGTTCTCTCAATCCGAGCCGTTATCCATTACTCCACCATGCCTCCTGTCACAGTTCCTATTTTTCAATACTGTTTCTGCTCATCAGAAAGATCATTTTTCAGTAAGGTTCAGGCAGAAAACATAGTTGAAGATTCTTGTTAGCAACTTCCAAATGAAATGTAAGCAAGTAATTGGTCTAATAATTGCCTGCCTGCCTTTTAATGAGTCTTTCACTATAAGCATTGTCATTCTTTTATTATCCATTCTCGTAGCCTACTCTGATCTAAACATAACATGCTGACCTCTTTTCAAATACGAAACCGTTCAGAAGGTCGGATCCCGCTGCTTTCCAGGTAGAAATATACTTTCAACATCCTCCAAGTTAATGGCCATAGCTTCCCGCAGAATCTTCGTTTTCTAACTTAGGTAACCATTACGTACCTTCGTTATACGTGATTCCATTCGACCAAATTTTGCACCAAAACACGCAAGGCTTTCAGCAAGATCAGATGTTGGCGTTTCCTCACCATTCTTTCAATCTAATTTTTCGTGATTATACAGAATGGCGGGGCTAGAGGATGAACTGCATCCGCGTCCTGGTTAAGACGTTGAACTGCATCCGACAGCAAGACCTTTGATCAGGAAGTTTTGAAGAGCATGGAACTACCTCTTGTTTGCTGGCGTTCCCAGGTCAACACTAACCCGGTGTGGTAGCACCTGTCAGGGTCCAAGCTATGGGAAAATTGTTACAAAATGGATCAAAACACTATAAAAGTATAAAAATAAGTTTTAATAACAGCAATACTTTTTGGGGAAAATTATTACCAGCAGTACATTTTTGAAAAAGAAAAATATTACCAGCATTTTTTTTTTTTTTAAAAATATTACCAGCAATAAAAATCTTGTCTGCATTAAATAAACCATTGGGGTTGATATACTGTAAAACAAAACAAAAAATGAGAATACTTAGAATAGCGAGGAAAGACAATTGGAGAATTTGACACTCGCAAAAGAGTGCGTAACATACCTAATGAGTTTCTGTAAAATGATGGAGGCACAAAAACTTGGACGGATAGTCAAGGGATAAATATTGCACCGGATTACAAAGGATATGTTTTTGGGAAGAATCATGATCACCTATGCCATAAATGGATATCGCATGTGACAGAATAAAAATAATATTTATTAGAATCAGACAAATACAGTGGAGATTTCTGGAGCGCATAATAGGTAAGAGAGCTTGGAGAATTTGACGCTCACAGAACGGAAGGAAATAGAGAGAAGTGTCGCGTAGCCTACCTTTTTGTTCTCTCATTTTACGCCAATCAAGGTGATAATGCCAATAAGACGCAAGGGATTACTGAGCTTTAAAAAATTAGAGAAAAAGCATTATTAAGGAGAGAGGTAAAAAAAATAGATGACGATGATTGAAATAGCATTTCAATTTTTGAAGATCAAAAGTTTATTAAAAAACACGAAGCCAAAAGAGCTTCACAAGTGAAGAAACTGTTAGCATAAAACTTAACTATATAATGATGAGAATTAGCTGTCGATAGATAACATTAATAATAAAAATAACCTTTTTCTTTTCTTTTTCTTTTCATCTTTTCTTTTTTCTTTTTCTTTTCTAATAAAATAGACAACATTAGTAATAAAAATAGTCTTTTTTCGTTTTTCTTTTCCTTGTAAAATAGACAGCTTTAATAATAAAAATAATATTCTTCTTCCTCATTCTTTTTCTTCATTTTATTTTTTCTTTTTGTTTCTTTTTTCTTCTTTTTCTTTTTGTTTCTTTTTTCTTCTTTTTCTTTTTGTTTCTTTTTTCTTCTTTTTCTTTTTGTTTCTCTTTTCTTTTTCTTTTTTTTGTTTCTTTTTTTCTTGTTTCTTTTTTTTTCCTTTTTCTTCTTTTTGTTTTTTTTCTTTTTTTTTTTTCTTTTTTTTTTTTTTTTTTTTTTTTTTTTTTGTTTTTTCTTTTTTTTTTTTTTTTCTTTTTTTTTTTTTTTTTTATTTTTTTTTTTCTTTTTTTTCTTTTTTTTTCTTTTTCTTTTTTTTTTTTCTTTTTTTCTTTTTTTTTTTTTTTTTTCTTTTCCTTTTTTCTTTTGTTTTTTCTTTTCCTTTTTTTCTCTTTTTCTTTTTTTTTCTTTTCCTTTTTTCTTTTGTTTTTTTTTTTTTTTTTTGTTTTTTTTTTTTCGTTTTTTTCTTTTTGTTTTTTTTTTTCCTTTTTTTTTTTTTTTGTTTTTTTTTTTTCTTTTTCTTTTCCTTTTTTTTCTTTTCCTTTTCTTCTTTTTTTCTTTTGTTTTTTCTTTTCCTTTTCTTCTTTTTTTTCTTTTGTTGTTTTCTTTTCCTTTTTTCTTTTTTCGCCTGTCTCCTCTTTTAGACAATATTAATAATACAAAGCTAACAAACCAGAATTGTATGTTGATTAAAATCTACAAAAATGTTTTTTCATAGATACGACAGTACTAGCTTTCAATCCACTAGTGTACTTAAATTCATAAATACGAAGAACTAAAAAAAAAACTTACGGCGGTGTGAAAATGAGTGAATCACAGATGTCATTCCAAGATCGATAACAGTAACAATTTTTCTTTGGATTTTCTCAAGAATCTCTACATACATAGCAGAAGCACCAGACCATATGTGGCAGCAATAGTCAATGCATAGACGAAGGGCAGACTTGTAAAGTTATAAAATATATTCTGACAAGAAAACTTGTCTGTCACGACAAAGGAAACCCACTTTCCTGCGAGCAAACTTAGCAATTGATTCAATATCGTTGTTCCACTTAATGACAACGGAAAACTTTATCCCGAGGTGTAATGAATCACTCTCCTGGAGGTTAGCATCAGTCATTAAGACAATAGTAAATAGTTGCGTCGTCATCATAGTTACCAAATCGAGAATTGATGACATTTCAAAGGTCGTTGACAAAAATTAGCAAAGTTCGTCTACGAATAGATCCAAGACACTCGCGTTAATGTAAAAAGCATCTAAAAGAATGGCCGTTCAAGAGAGTTTTCGTTTCACGATACGATAAGAAAGATTGAATCAAATCAAATATACGTCCAGAAATACCATATGCTTTCAACTTATGAAGACCAGAGCATGACACACTCCATCAAACGCCTTAGAGATATGTAAAGCAATAGCCCAGTGCATCACCATTCTTATTTAAAGCTTGACAAAATGTTTCGGCAATAACAAGGTGTTGACCTAGAGTAATGAAAGTCATGTTATTTGTCTGAATGAAGGCCCTGCAATGTGAGA